ACACACACACACACACTGACTTATTAAGCAAACCCAAGACATCATATCACTTCCTGCAGAAGGATTTTAACATCAATAACAACTTCTGCCACTCAGATGCTGTACCACCTGTGAAATCCCTAACTCAAATTGTGACCTTCCCACCTCAATCTGTTCTGAACATTCCTGTCCTTAGCAAAAAGTTTTGATAGACCACACTATGGTGATGAGCCACATGCATTAGAAGACACTGTTTCAAGTAAAAACAAGAAGTACATCAGCCCTCAACAGGTTTTACCAAGCCAGAATTGTTTATCTCCACTACCTACACAGAGGCCATAGGCTAGTGACTATTTGCAAGGCTGACCAAAAGACAAATCAAACTCCACAAAAACGTGAGAAATTCTCTTCCAAAATAATCTGAATTGTGAGCTCTTAAAGTTATGGAAATCATTAATTTGGAAATCATGAAACCCAACAGCCACATTTTACAGATGAGGAAGACAACAGTCAGAAATAAGGAGGAATTTGCCCAAAGTTCTACAGTGCCAAGACCAGAGTCAACATCTTTGAACTCATAATCTAAAATTCTTTCAGTTCACCATTTTGTCTGGAAGATCAGGCCTTGGAGTTTCTCAGCCCATAAACTTGGGATGTCATTTCCTTCCCTAGCTCAAAGAGGCTGCAAGGGGAAAAGGGAGGTGGGGCAAGAAATTGCCTTCCTGGTTCCCAGCATGATGGCAACGTATGAGTTGGTCTTTCAGACCCCTTGACAAATAGTGGATCCTGGTAGCACCTACCTTCTGGCTGCTGTGCTAATCTCCTGGCTGGCCTCTTATTTCTCATTAGCAAAGGACTCTGCAGTCAGACACCCAGGCCTCATTTCTGTGGAATTTTGCCAGTCCAGCTTGCCTTGAAAAGACGTACATGAAGCCTCACTTTTCCCATTTGCTCTGAACTTGGCTGCACATCACTTTTGGCTACAGACTGCAGCTCCTTTGAGGTATTAAAGGAGTAGTGTTTGGCTCAGACCCTGGTAGGACTCAGAGCTCTTGTGCCTTTTGGAACATAAAGTCCTTCCAGTTACTGATGAAATGTGACAACCATGACAAGTTTGTTTACCTGATCGGGCTCTGACTTCACAATCTAGTGTTTTCAGTTTTCAAGGAAGTCCCTGCCTGCAAAATTGGGAAGGCAGTATCTCACAAGTTTCCCTAAGTCTTAGGTGGACAAATGAGAACACATGTAAGGAGCTCTTAGCATTCCTGGTTAAGGGAAGTCAGCAGAGAATAGCCGATAAAATTGCCTTACTTCTGAGAGTACAATTGCAGGCAAGACAGAGGAAGGTGATACAGATAGTGAACTTCAGCTCATGAACTTATCCCAGATATCAGCCTGGGATAAGACCAATTTAGATGTATTATATTACCTGAGCCCAGTTGAATTGCAATATGTAGGATCCCAAAGGGACTTGGTGGTCATCTACTCTTCCTTCAAGAAACTTATTCATTGAGTGGCTATTTTGTGTCAGGCACTGGTGCTGGCAATACAGCAGAACAAGACACCTCAGATCCCTGTTCTCTTGGGGCTTACAGACTCACAATAGACACAGTCATTAATAACAATTAAAAAGTAAATACAAAAACATTTATACAGACACATAGGGAAGGCCCATCTGAAATGGTGACATGGAATTGAAGCCCGAATAATGAGTCAGTCATGTGGGGATGTGCGGCAGAACATTCCAGGCAGAGGAAATAGCTCTGGCGAAGGCCCTTGTGTGAGCCCAAACTGTTTGAGGACAGGCAGGAGGTGAGTGTGGCTGGAGCAGAGTGAGTGAAGGGAAGAGTGGTGGAGGATGAGGGCAGGAAGTAGATCACGCAGAGCCTTGTATGTCATGGTCAGGATTTGGGGTTTTATTCTCAATAAGATGAAGAAGGCCCTTGTGTGAGCCCAAACTGTTTGAGGACAGGCAGGAGGTCAGTGTGGCTGGAGCAGAGTGAGTGAAGGGAAGAGTGGTGGAGGATGAGGGCA